ACGACCCCATCTTACCGGGGGCACGGTCGGGACTCGCTCCCACTCTACGTGACCTCTACTCATTCTAGCCGATCGGACTCGGTTATGCATGGATTCAGAACCCTTGGCCATGTGAGTGTATAATCTCTCTCTCGAGTACTCGGGTATAGCCCTCATCTGCATGCACTCTTACGGGCTACACCACTTCTCTATCTCATACTCATGCCGCTCTCTCAATGCGGCGTACATGCGGGAATACTCTACCCATTACTCACGGGTTCCCCATCGCACAACCTACTCTATTCTCTTTCTCTTAACTCTTAAAGTAGCTTATACTCAAATTCTCTACTATGTCTCAAGCTACTTCTTAAGTGTATAAACAAATGTGTATAGATAGCTCATGCTCACTAATGCACTAATGAAATGCCAAATACAAGATTGCATCAAAACAGTCATTCTGCACAGGTCACACTAAAAAGGGCATAACTTGCGTTATACACCTCGGATTGCTATGATTTTGGTCTCGTTTTAAAGCTTAGAGACAGGGCTACAACTTTTATGTTTTGGTCTAAACCCAGTTCAATCCGTAACATGCCCAAAAATTACTCAGAAAGTCACGGCTGTGACAGGGCAGATTCCACTTAGGCATTTCATCAAACAACTTTTGTGCATACCAAAAACTCTAATTATCAATAACTCTACTCTTCTCTTTAATCATCCAAAATGGGAGAAAAACTCCCTCATATAGTCATAATTCCTACCAAGGAAAACACTCCCAAAAATATTCATACAAACTCCTCCAACTTCAACTCAATTTCCATCTCTCATCACACATCAAAAACACTTCTCATAATACATATTCATCTCAACTCAATTCTCAACAACATAACATACTTATACAAGCATACATCTCTACTCAATCTCTAAATCTCTACTCAAAAGCTTATTCAAAACTCAAGTTGGTTGGATTTACTTACCTTGTGAAAAAGTGACTTCTTTAGCACTTTTCCTTTCCTTTGTTGTCTTGTCTCCTCTCTACAACTCAAAACAACAACAAGAACAATAACAACCAAATAAGACTTCACTATAACTATAAGAAAACTCACATCTAAAGCATGAATCCTTACCTTAGGATGCTTTAGATGAAATCTCTACTCAAAATTACTCAAAAGCTCTCCTAAATCCCTTAGAAATCTTGGAAGATTGGATGGAGAAAATGAGAGAAATTAGGCAAATGGAAGAGGCGGTGGAAATGAATGAATAAAGGGTTTCTCTACACTTTAACTCTTTTTAGCTCATATTATAAGCATCCTTTCCCATTTTGCCCTTGCCTTTCCTTAGAAATTCCATCTATATCCTTTGATTCTTTACAAATACACCCCCATCCAAACACAATCTCTACTAAATTTCCTTACATTTTACTCCCTACTTTTCCTACCAATTAGGGGTAGAATGGTCATTGTGCCCCAAAAGAAGAATTCTCTAGAAAACTCAAGAAACTTTTTATTAGGCTCATAGCTGCAGCGAAAAACATTCCGTCGCCCCGGCGAAACAGGGCAGAACCTACCCGTGGGTGCAGCTCCTCCTCGCCGCGGTGAAGCTTTTTCTTCGCCCCGGCGAAGATTGGATTTCCAAACTTTACCAAAACTCAACCAATTTCAAGGCAACCATTCAACCAACTCAACATACCATGATAACAAACAAACTCAATTGAAGCTGAAACAGTAAACTTTTAACTAATACAGTAAATCTTAAGTACATACCTCAAGTAGGATATTACAGGTTTGATTACCCTTCTAACTCTATCTCTTGATAGTTGGTAATTAGACAGCCCTAACTCATGACCATGGTTCAACTGCTCACCTTCAAGTTCACCAGTTTGATCACCCACAGAATTTTCAAGATTATTTTCCTCAGCTTGAATGTCATCAGCTCCACCTGGATTCACAGTTTGATCAACTTTGGAGTTTTGAAGTTCTAGTTCTAAGTAACTTGATCCTGATGGATTGCCCTCTAAATTTTCAGAATCCTTTTCAAGGCCAGGTATGATTTCTTCTCTAAAATCAACATCTCTGTTGATGATACATTTCTCAGACTCTAAGTTCCAAAGTTTATAGCCCTTTACCTTATCTGGGTATCCTAAGAAGATACATTTAACGGCTCTAGGTTTTAATTTGTCTTTTCTAACATGGACATAAGCTAGACATCCAAAAACTCTAAGATTTTCTAGTTTTACAAGGTGACCAGTCCACTTCTCCAGAGGGACCCTAAAACCTATTGCTAAAGATGGAGTTCTATTGATTAGGTAGACTGCTATGTGTGCTGCCTCTACCCATAATTTAAGTGGCAGTTTAGAGCTAGACATGATGCTCCTAACCTTTTCTAAAATGGTTCTATTTGTTCTCTCACAAAGACCATTTTGTTGTGGGGTATTCCTTACTGTTTTATGTCTCACAATTCCATGTATCCTACAGAAACTGTTAAATTCTTCATTTACAAACTCTAGACCATTATCAGTCCTAAGTTTCTTTAACTTATTTCCAGTTTGTGTTTCTACCATGACTTTACATTCCTTAAACCTAGAGAATGCCTCATCCTTGGTTTTAAGGAAATAGATCCACACGTACCTAGAAAAATCATCAACAAAACTAGTGAAGTATCTACATCCTCTAAGTGAGTAGTGCCTAGATGGTCCCCAAACATCTGAGTGAAAATACTCAAGTGGTGAACTTGAGTAGTGTTGCCCAGATCCAAATTTAACTCTACTCATTTTTCCAAAGACATAATGTTCACAGAAAGTTAGACTTCCAATCTTATCCCCACACAGTAGGTTTTGCTTGCCTAGTTCTACTAAGCCCTTCTCACTAACATGTGCAAGTCTTTGATGCCACAATGAACTTCTATCTTGAACTTCTGTTGACCCAACAGCAGTAATCCCACTCTCCACTCTACCTTTTAACACATATAACCCATTTCTCTTCTCAGCTTTCATAACAACTAGAGATCCTTTCATAACACTAAGGTTGTCATTTGCTGCCTTATAGCTAAACCCATTAGAATCTAAGGTTCCTTGTGAGATTAAATTCATTTTCAGGTCAGAAATATATCTAATGTCTGCGAGAATTTAAGTTACACCACTTTGAAGATTTAGCTTAACTGTACCTATACCTTTTATATGACACATAACATTATTCCCCATCATAACTTTCCCACCATCTAAAGGTTGAAATTAGCTGAACCATTCTCTATTTGGTGTCATGTGGTCGGTACACCCTGAGTCTAGGATCCATTCCTTACTAGTTTTACCCTCGAAAATAACTTAAACCTCTGAACTTTCATATCCCTCGGATGCTACACCAGCACTGCCTCCCTCACCATCTTTTTTAGATTTCTTCTTGTTCTTTCTCTTGGGACAATCTCTTCTAAAATGACCCTCCTTATGGCAAAAGAAACATTTTCTATTCCCTGACCTAGATTTTGACCTGTTCCTATTTTGCCCTCCCTTTTTCCAATTCTTCCTTAATGATCTCCCTCTAACATTAAGGCATTCACCATCACCACAATTTTTATCTCTCATCCTATTTTCACTATCCTTGGCAGAAATAGCCTCCACTACCTCTTTTAACTTCAGTGTTTGTCTACCATATTTAAGGGTTTCCACAAAATTAGAATATGATTTAGGTAATGCATTCAACAGGATTACTGCCTGATCCTCATCATTAATGTCTACAGAAGTACTTTCTAGATCCTGAATCACTTTCAAAAAATCATCTTTATTATCTTTTAAAGATTTCTGCTCACCCATTTTAAAGCCAAACAACCTTTGCTTTAAAAATAATCTATTAGGGACAGTTTTAGATTGATAGAGAGAATTTAACCTGTTCCAGATTTCAGCAGGTGTCTTCTCCTTCTTGACCTCCAGAAGGACTTTGTCACCCAATCCAAGGATCAAGGAGCTTTTGGCTTTGTCTAGCATTTCCCGCTTCTCGGAAGCTGTCATAGTCTTTAGAAGTTCAGTCTCTTCCTTTAAGGCTAGGGCTAGTGTTAGACCGATCGTCACAGTCTAAAAAATTAAACCTAAATACCGTAGTAGCGGTAAGCAGGATCGAATCCACAGGGAGCAAGACTAACAACCTAACGTATTTTAAGTAGCGAAAATGAAATTGACAATGGATTAATGAAACTAAATAGACTAAATGCAAATAATGAAATAGTGCAATTAAAACTAATAAAGACTTTATAATAAAAATGTTGCCGTTACGGTTTTGGTTCGACACGAGACCGACTCACACAATTCTTCTCTACCCTCTACNATCTTTTAACATTTAATTCATTGATTTTCTTTCCTAACTTTACGTTTATGTATTCTTAACATGATTAACATGTAACAAGCTTAACGTAAATTAATTTAATCATGTTCAAATTTTTTTTTTTTTTTTTTTTTAATTTTAAATAGCTTAACAATGAAAAATTATCATTGTTCATAAAACGAGTTCTTTAGATATAGTCAGGGAATGTGTTTCCTCCATTTCAGTTTTCGATATCGCTTTCATAAAATGATAGTGAACACGTTTTCAAATTTTAAAAATACAAAATTAAATTTCTTATTTTCACTTCAATTCATTTTTGAAAACAAAAATACAGAAAATGCAAGTGCATGGCACCTGAGAGAATTACAAATTATGAGACATCTTGAAAAAAAAATTACAATTATTACATCTATGTTATTCCCAGGTGTTAGCTGTTTTTAAGAGGCCGATTCATGTTATCAGTTCCACAAAATCAATAATACATCATCAGGACTTATGAGTAAAGCCAAAAATATGACATCATTTACTAAGTATTTCCTCAAGCCTGGCTTCACTCATATGGCTCTGTGATTTATAACATAGCATCTTGAGTCAAAATATATCCTTATTAAAGAGAGTAAAATTAAAGATATGCAATACGCCAATACCGTAAATGATGGCTTAATGTTGTAATGTTAGTTGTTATGATGGTCTCTATTTTTATAAACACACTTAGAATTGCATGGGTCCATCACGCTTCTGTTGATACTCTAGTAGCATTTATACAAAAACTTATTGAAGAGCAAAAAGATTTATTAAAAAAAAAAAAAAAAAATTAATAATTGCAAAGTATTCTACTAAAGATTTAAGCATACCTTGGGCAATTATGAGGAAAACAGAGGAGCTTGGAGACTTTACACTGTATGTAATGTTAATTTGAGACCCTTCATTTAGGAAATGAATCCACTCCTGGTGACAGAAAAATACAAGTTGAACATCTAAATTCTAAAATTTCAAGAACAAATACAAAGCATCATTGAGGCAAAACAGTAACATGGCATTATCCAAAATCAAACTTGCCTTGTGAGAATCAGCTGGTACAGAGACACCATAACTTTCGGACCAAGTAGTTACTACATCAAGAGGTGGAGAATTATAAAACCCATATAGCTGAGGTCCAGGTTTTGTCCCTTCTAACTCTTCCACCTGATCACATAAACCAACGTAAATCACCACCACAACATCAAAAACTTGCATCACTAGAGAGGCCACAAAAAGTTGCCGCTGACCTTGATGGTCTGCACAAAAAAGGGGTTGGGTCGTATGAGAATGGATGCATTAGGACCAAGCCTTACATTTGCCGCACCATAAACTCCCAGGATTAGAGTCATTGAGACTGCAATATGTAAATTCAATCCTCATTATAATAATCAGACCACATAAACTTACAACTTACATGAATAACCAAATGAGCATGCCATAATTTAACAGACGGGGAAAAAATCCAGCAATTGCTGCTCAAATTATGTAACAGAAATGTAAAATTACACAATAAATAAAAATAAAAGAAAAGAAACAGTAACCAGGACCAAATCGAACAATTGCATCAAATAAAAGACAAAATAAAAACATACTAACCGAAGAACCAAAAAGTGAGGACAACGATTATGCAAGACCAAGTGTCATCACTAATAACTGTCGATGCATCATCGAAAGCTGAAAAGTTTCCTCGATAAGCAAATCCAAAATTCTGATGCTCTAGTTCTGGCTGTCCAAATCGATGAGGATCATGATCATGATTATGATGAGTTGCCTCTTCTTCACTCACTGGTGATGAATTCAAAGAAGGAGACAACGAAGCAGCGCCTGCACCTGAAGAGTCTCTATTGGTGGAAGATCCCGAAGTAGAAGCTGAACTGTGATCTGGCTCCGCCATTCTAGAGAGCGAAAACAGATAAGGATTAAAGAAATTGAGAATTGGATAAAATTAAAGCCCTAACCCTAACTTTAATTCAACGGGTAAAATAAAGATAACACACCTTGGCGTCTCTGTCGAAAATGGTCAGAGTCCATGAAGAGGAGAGTGAGGAACTGAAATTCACCAATCAGTCGCTTCGTCTTCGTGAGAATGGTAGTTGGCTTGGGGGACGAGTGACAGACGGATAGTCTTATTTGAGCTGTACCTAACCTTTAGTTAGAATTAGAACTAATGACGTTGAACTTAATTGGCCAATCAGCAGCTTTTTTGGCTCCTGGCTATGTGCTATAGTAATATTTCTATATTATAATTCTCTATTTTCTGCTTCCAACTTTGGCTATAGTAATACTCATATACTAATAATCTCTTCCTAATTATAAAAATTTCTGATTCTAACTTTGGCTAGTTATAAATAAGAATATATTTTAAATTATAATAAATTATAGTTTTTCTAGGTCTCCTCTTAAGGAACTTGCTTCTATATAGTAATAATTGTGTATATATTATAAAAATATATATGTTACGTTACATTAAATGTTTAAGATGAAATAAAATATTTATCTAAAGTTGTTTGAGACAATGATTTATTTATGCTTTAGAGTTGTTATTATATCTTTTATCTTGCGGATAAGTAATAAATTGTCAACATGGACACCTTTTTGTTGAAGCCAAAATATTTTTAACTACATGTTTGGAGCTTCTTGGCACAAAACATTTGGGCTCCGTTTGGTTAACTTTTTTACACTTTTCCGAAAAGTTTTGTGAAAAAAGTTAAAAAAAGTTGAATTGGGCGAGTATTACAATGTAGGATTTGAAAATGAAAAAAATACCCCCTCTATTTATTTATTTACTAAATACCGCTATAATAAAATATTAAAAGTTAACAAAAACACCCCTAACCCACCCAAAAAATATGACAGTCAGCCACCACCGCCGGAGGGTGGTCAGAGTGGCGGTATCGGGGCATGACCGGTTAGATCTTACCGGTTGTGCGCCGATATGGCCTTTTCCAGCCAGATCCACGGTGGATCTGGCCGGAAAAGACCAGATCTACGGCTAGATCTGGCCATTAACGTCTAGATCTGGCCGTATTTGCTCGTCAATGACAACCAACATATGGTCGTCGTTGATGGTCAACGACAACCATATGTTGGCCGTCGTTGACGACTGGCTACGGCCAAAGATCTGGCCGTTAGATCTGGCCTTTTTCGGCCAGATCCACCGTGGATCTAGCTGGAAAAGGCAGATCGGCATACGGCAAGATTCAGTCGGTAGTGTACCGTTTTACTAGATTCCGGCCATCTTCCGACAGTGGTGGCCAGAATCTGGTAAATGTGAGTTACTGGGGTGTTTTTGTAATTTCTAAAAAAAATACTTAGAGGTATTTAATTAAATTAACAAATTTAAGGGGTTTAAAAAAAGTTGAATAATATTGAATAATATTGTGAGTTTTTGTAATTTTACTGTTTAACTTTATTGGGAATACTAATAGTAGTATTCGCAAAAGGGAACCAAACGGAGCCTTGGTATTTCCGGACTATATTCATATTCAGGATCGTCTCCTTCCTCTTCTTGTTTAATTCTAGTAATGATTTCTTTTTCAGTTAAAGCATACACGACTTGTTGCTCATTTGGATAATTAAGAAAGATATTAATATCTATTTGATTAGTATAATAAAGTTGTCGTATTGATCACTCAATTTTGTAATGACTCTTTAATATTCATTTTCATACTATCCTAATGCTACTAAAACAATGAATTGAAATCTTAATATTATTAAAACATGAATTATAAAATAAGAAATCAAATCAATAATTTTTTAATCAAAACAATAATTCTTATAACTATACCTCTATTAAGTTATAACATCCTTATAATAATAAATTTAGTTAGTCTCAACATTATGATTATAGAGAGGTTTTACTGAATAAGTAAATTCATTAGTTTGACGGTTTTATAATATCTTAATTATATATTCTTTCCAATTTTATTTATTCAACTTTATTTTAACTATATAAATAGTAATATTTATTAACCAATTTCATAATCAATTATAATGAAAATAAATATATGAATAGTTAAATTATATTTGTATTTAAAACAAAAAATAAGATAAAACTTAAATATAACTAAATTATATACTTAAGAAACTGAATAAAATATAATGGGATTTAAAACAAAGTTTTATATTCTTTTCTGTTTTTATTTTTCAATTTTAATTTAGTTAAAATAAGAAATATTGAAAAAAATAATAACTAAAAAAAATTAATTAGATAAAATGTATTATAGCCTTTATTGTTAGAGTAGGTGCCCTAGAGCCAATCAATTATTGTAAAATTGACTCTTTGTAATAATGTTTATTAATTAATAAAAGACATTTTCTGTTATATCATGTAAATCATAATTGTATGTATTGATATATGTCTTTAGAATGATAAAATCGTGACGAGGGTATCAAGTGTTTCAAATCTTGATAGTGGGAACCCTATGATCACATATAGTGGCCATTTTAGAAATGTCTGTAGCCCTAGTATTATTTTGACCAAGGACACAGATAATACGATAAGATTATCATAGTGTTAATGACTCTGTCGAAAGGTAGTGACTGATCTCACTTGTCAAGGTTGTTTGCTGCCAACCTAGTGCAACACCAAAGTGCTTGCTGTAGGCAAGTTTACTAGACTAACCCATCAGAGGATTTCATATAGATGATAATCCCAGTGTCTATGGAACAAACCCTTTAACGAATGGTGGTGCATGTGATCCTTAGAGTTGAGATCACCGGAGCGCCTTGTGCACCAATTGGTGTAGTACTGTAGTTTGACATTAGCCTAACGTAGTTCTATTTAGAGCTATCGAGACGGTGGTGATTGGTTACATCGAGGAGTGTATCAAGACTACGGTGGATCGATAGATGATTCATCACTCTTGGGTACGGGAGAAGTTATCTCACTACGTAATTCAGTAAATGACAATAACACTAAAGTTGTGGCCACAGTGGGATTGAATTGTTGCCCAATCCAATTTATTGTTTCGGTCATTGGTCTAGTAACTGAATATAAAGGTATCGAGGATAACTGAGGTTGACACTATTTCTGTATCTCAATCTTGATGAGATAATAGATGATGAAAAGATTTGATTGCACAGTAATCATATCGTTGATAGGTAGCTGTTTTGCTGAATCTGAATCTATCGGGTGACCATGATGCTTTGCTAGGGGTTAATCTTGGTCTTTGTGTAGTGAGATGATTGATTGGTGTCAGTTGCGATACTACTCATTGTCGATATAATAAAGAGCCTAAGGGTCACACACTTAGAAGCCAGTTTAAGGATAATAAATTTTGAAAGGGTATATTCGTCCTTTGGATGAATAGGCATATTGGTAATTTTGTTGTATAATTAAATTTACTGAGGTTGTAGCCTATGTCCAATTTTATTATTGGAGTAATTTAGCAAAATTATAAATTTAATTATTAGAGTTAATATTAATATTTAACTAAATAATTAAATAAGGGTTAACATGCAATTCTACCTAATGTTTGATTGATGCTAAACTTGAGGGGTGGAATGAATATTTTACTTATTATATAAGCAAAGAAAATTTAAGGTTTTCTAACCTAAGATTTCATTTTTGCTGTGGAGTGAAGTTTTGAAGAGAAATTTTTCTCTTCTTCTTCTCTTCACTCTATCATCCAAATACCATCCTTAAAGCCAAGAATTGATTCTAGCAAAATCAATTCTTGGTCTCTAATGTACTGTCTTCGTGTGGATGACGTGAGTTCGATTCCATTCTCGAATCGATAGCGAAATCACGTTCAGAGATATTGACGGAGCCTCCAAACGCTGGTATAATCTAATCCTTGCATGGATCTTTATTATTTCAATTTAAGTATGAAATATATATATATATATATATATATATATATATATAGAGAGAGAGAGAGAGAGAGAGAGAGAGAGAGAGAGAGAGAGAGAGAGAGAGAGAGAGAGAGAGAGAGTAAAACCTCTGTATAGTTATAATGGTGGGACTAACTAATTTTATTACTATAAGGAGGTTATAACTTAATAGAGATGTAGTTACAAAAATTATAGTTTTGATTTCTTATTTTATAATTCATGTTTTAGTAATATATTATTAGGATTTCAATTCAATGCTTCAATTGTCTACTTTTGAAACGGATAAAAGATCTTTTCTTAGAACCAGCAAAAATAAGTGTCATTGATGGAACTATAAATGCAGTTGATGCATGGTCAATTGATGTGAAGGAACAAACAATTGTCAATGGTTTTAAGCGCTGCAAAATTAGGACCACTAATATCAATGAATTGTAAGTTACAAATAAAGTGGATGAGGAGAATAAAAGAGTCACTATAGAATTGAGAGATCAGATTCGACAACTTCACTACACTAATCGAATGAATATTAATGTCTTCTTCGAATATCCAAATGAGCAACAAATCATGTATGCTTTAACCAAAGGAGAAATCATTGTTGCAATTAGACAAGAAGAGAAAAGAAATAATCCTAAGGATAATAGTACATAAATACAAAAAGTCTTGTGCCATGAAGCTCTAAACATGCTTGAGAAACTAAAAATATTTTGGCTTCAACAAGAAGGTATCCATGCTAATGAGCTATTACGTATTCGTAAGGTAAAAGATGTGATAACAACTCTAAAACATAAATTATTGTCCCAAACAATTTTAAATATATATTTTATTTCATTTTAAACCTTTAATTTTACATAACATATTTTTTTTTGTAATATACAGATAATTATTACTATGTAGAAACAACTTTCCTTAAGGGGGGAATTAGAAAAATTATAACTTATTACAATGTAGAGTTTATTCTTATTTATAACTATCCCAAATTGGAACTAGAATTTTTTATGATTATATAGAGTTTATTCATATATAGAATATCACTATAGAAGATTTTATTTTATATATATATATAAGTATATAAGACTCTAATCTTGGCGAAATCAGAGTAATTGATGAACAATATTTTTGTTTTTTCGTTGCCTCTGCTCATCGATTTACTAACATTTATATGGTAAATTAATTGAATTTTGGGTGTATTAGTTTGATGACCAATGTCCTTTCAAATGATACGTAGTTTTTTTTCTTTTTTTTTTTGTATCCCGGGTTGTCCGAGCCAGCTTACGCACACCCCAACTAGTTCCCTGGGAC